ATATCTTTCAGGATACCATACTATTATTAGCATGAGAAAGTGTAAAATGCCAGGCTTAATTAATTTTCTTATAGCATGGTACACAGCAAATAGGATGGTTCAGCTTCTACAATTTTAAATCTTTTTCAGAATGCGTTTCAGTCTGGGATTTGGTACTTTGCTAACTTCTCTTCATGGAGCTTAATTTACAGAATTTGCTGTCATTCCTAAACTTGATAAAGATAATAAATATTGTGCAAACGTAAGTTCTAGTTCATTAATTGATTGATTATATGCTATCAAATTGGTGTTGACTCTTCGTGACCACATAGATAGATTTTCTCCAGGATCTGTCCCAACAATGGACCCATCACTGTTATAACTGATTTCATCCACCTTGCTGCTGGCCATCCTTTTTTTCTCTTTCCTATCACCTTTCTCAGCATTATAGACTGCTCTAGAGAGCTAGGTCTTCACTTACTTTGTCCAAGTATGATAATTTCTGCCTGGTTTTTTCTGCCTTGAGTAATAATTCTGGATTGATTTTTCTTTTTTGTTCGTAGTATTCTCAGCAGTCTTCTACAACACTGAAGTTTGAAAGTGGCAACACTTTTTCTATCCTGCTGCTTCAAAGTCCAACTTTCGCTTCCATAGAATATCACAGGGAAAACCCTTGCCTGTACAAGTTTGATTTTTGTACGTATATACACATCATAGCATTTGTATATATTTTCCAAGTCCTTCATTGCTACTCTACCAAGCATTAGTCTGCAGCATATTTCACTGCTGGTTACTTTACTGTTGATAGTTGATCCTAAAAGGCATAAGCTATCCACCACTGTGGTATATTCATTGTCAATTCTAAAACTGGTTGCTGTACCTATTGTCATTAATTTAGTCTTCTTTATATTAATCTTAGTTCCATTTTTTTCACTGTGCTCCTTGACTTGCATGATTAGAGCTTGCAGTTAATTTTCATTTTCAGCTATCATAGTATCATCATCAGCATAGTGCAGGCTATTGAGGTTTCTTCCTTCAGTTTTAAAGCCATGCTCATCTTCTTCCAATTCACCTTCCCTCAACATATCTTTCTCATATAGGTTTAACAAATAGGGGAGAATATACAGCCTTGTCTCATTCTTTTGCCAATCTGGAGGCAGGCTGTTTTGCCATGTACTGTCCACATTGTGGCTTTCTGACCTGTATACAGGTTGTGTATGAGAACGAGATGTTCTGGGATTCCCATTTTTCTAAGTATATTTCACATGACTGGCACAATTGCAGGCCTTTCTGTAATCAGTGAAGCATATACTGACTTCATTTGATACTCTTTGCCTTTCTCAGGTAGTGTGTACGCAACTTTTTTAAAAGCCAGCTTGAACATATGGCATCTCTTTTTCCATGTAGGGCTCTAATCTGCATTATATGATCCTAAGCATTATTTTGCTACCATGTGAAATTAAGGATACTGTACAATAGTTTGCACACTCCTTTCTTTGGTATTGTGTGTAGATTAACCTCTTTCAATCTGTTGGCTGCTGTGTCATTTTCTAGATTTGCTGGCATAACTTGGTTATCATCTTTACTGATTCTTCTTCTGTTGCTTGCCATATTTCTGTGTCTACTCCATCAATTCCTGTGGTCTTCTGCTTGGTAATAATTGGAGTGTTGATCTAACTTCATCTCCCAATACTAGTTTCTCATAAGTAGGGAATATCTTCTAAAGTATCTTGGTTGTTGACATCTATATTGTACAGTATTTAAGTATACTCCTTTCCATCTTTGTCTGGCCTCTTTTGAATCAGTTACTATCTGTCCACTGATGTCTGTTAGCACACTCATTTGAGATTGGAACCTCAATCTTTTGGAATATTTTGTTTTTGTGCCTTTTTCCATCTTGGATGTCTTTACAGATGCTGTAATTCTGCTTCTTTTCTCTTTTAATAGCTCTCTGAAATTCTTTGTTAAGTTCCTTCCTGAGATATTTGTCTTTCTTGTCTTTGGCCTTCTTCTCTTCTTGGAAGTTTCCAGTTTGTTCTGACATCCAGTTTGGTTTTTTTTCTCTTTGGCAGCCTCTTTTCACATTAATCTTACACTTCTTTAAGTTCATTTCACAATTCCTCTGGCCCCCTATGAATGAGGTTCAGGACTTCAAAGCAATTTCTGATGTTCTCCTTGCAAATGATGTGTATCTGCTCAAGATTATATTGTAGAAACCAATTGGCTTTCTTCTTCCACTATGGCTTAACTTAGAATTGCATATGAGTAATTTGTGATCTGTTCACAGTCACCTCCTGGCCACATCTTTGCTGTTATAACTGAGCTCTTTCACCCTCTGCTAATAGTATAGTCAATTTGAGTTCATTAGAATATTGTAAACAGTATTGAATTAATTAATGAAATAAATTGTTGTAGAACCTGAGTGGAGTGTATATTTTAGGACAATTAATAGGATCAGATATAAGTATAATATGCCAAAAATGCAGAGTGGCAATATCTTAAAACATTTACTGTTTCAGTATTGGCCAACAGGCTTAAGAGTGTCAGAGACTCTTTTAACACTATAGGATTTAACATGTTCTATATGGAATAGTAATTAGCAATATATAATTACGTTTGTTAGAATGTACTAAATTAGAAGTTCAAGATTACAGGGATACATGGAATAATACATTAAAATGTTCAGTACATGTGTATCAAAAACCATTTTGACAGCTATTATATTTCTACAGATTTAATTTTTTTTATCACCTATACAACAGTTTGAAGAACTCTGGTCTCTGTATTAAATTAAGATACATGTGACTCATAGCCCATTTAAGTTCCTATATACATTTATGTTCATTAATCATGAATATATTGTCAACATATTCTTCATTTTCTTTCCTAACTTAAATCACTCCTATCCTTTATTCATAGTTATTTCCATTCTAGTCATTATTTCTGTTTCTGTTCACTGTTTCGCAGCCTGTTTTCCTTTTTAATATGAGTGACTAAACTAGACATATTGTGCAGAACACAATCTCAGAAGGACTGAATGCAAAAGTACCGATTTTTTCTACAACTTCTAGAACTATCTCACCTATTACTTTGAAATATTTTATCTGTAGTTTAACATTAGCTCTGGGTTCAACCAATATCCTGAATTCTCTTCCCTAGCTCATTTCTTTTAGAAAATGACACTGCAACAAATAACAAACATCTTTTATTGTTTCTTTTTAAATACATGGCCTTACATTTTGCAATGCTGAATTTCATTCCATTTTTATCACTTCACTAAGGTCATCCAATTAGTTCAGCATAATTTCTGAATTCTTCGAGAACTTGCAATATCTTCTAAGTTGAAATCCCGTTCCAACAAGAAATTCTCACTTCCTTCTTGTTAATGAAAGTATTTAATAAAGGAGGCCATACTGATTCCCAAAGAGCTCCACTGGTTCTTTCTTTCATTTGAAAATATCCTGTTTAAGAAAACCTAATGCTGTAAACAAAGAGCCTAATCAAATTCCAGTGTCCTCTCTCTCTCTCTCTCTCTCTTGTTGACATACTATAATTTGGATTTATTTTTAATGGATTTTGGTATGTATTTGCACTTGGGTCACATTCCCAGACTTTTTTATTTTATCATCCCCATTGCAGACAGTTGCTGTTGGATAGCAACTTTTCCAAAGGGTTCAATCTATGAATGATAATAATATATATAGATCAGGCTTTGTAATTGGAGATTAGCAGACACATTTTGAAAGCTAAGATGTTTTATGGTTCTAATGGGTTTAACCTAACTTTATTTCACTATTTCTAATGGCATAACTTGCCATTAGAGATATGCACCTGGTCCTAATAATACAGGCAAAACAAAGGTTTTATGCACCAAGATGCCATTCCATATCAATCTACTGATTAAATCTTGCAAACACACTACACAGCGCAGAATTCTGATGTGTGCAGAATGACAAATCTTGGCAAATGAAGGAGATCTCCTGTTCCACCTCAAAATGCACAAGGCTTTCATCACACAGAAGCATACTACCCTGTCAAAGCTACAAATCTCTGAATAAGCAGTGAACAACTTTTCACATATAAACTCAAAAGCAAATGTCTGTTACTGAGCACTGATAAGATCTTGTTTTCTGATCTATTTGATTGTTGACTGCACATCCTAACACAATCATTCTTCTGTGGTGTACTTTCTGATGCACAGCATCTCTGGATTGGGTTTCATATTTAAATGTTTACATTTATGCCAGAAAATATATAATTTTTAGAGAGAGATCTGAAAAAGAAAGTTCAAGGAACAACTGTTTCCCGATGACATAAATTAAAAGAATAATAGCTTAGCCTTTTGAACAAGTTTTTTTTTTTAGTTAAAAGGGAAATTAATTTCACAGTCTGCCAGTTGATCCAGGTTTCTAACTGATACAGAGCAAATAGTGGTTTATACATGCCATCTAACGTAAAAACACATTTGACATAGGGGCTTCTAGTCTGCCGCACAATCCTCTTAACTGCTATGCTAGAACTTTGGGCTAAAGCAAAGAGGGCAGATAAGCAGTTAATGAAATGAAGGATGACAAACAGGGTAAGCAGTCAATAGCAGCAGCTGTTTCAGTGATGTGGGATGGGGAAGGTCCCATCCTGGCTCATGGAGACAAGTCTTTCTCATGCCAGCACTTGTACTCTGTGCTGAATCTGATCAGCTGATATGTTATGACAGCAGCTTGTAAGACTAAATTACTAATGAAGCAAAGTTAGCCTGTTGGGAGTTTTGTTCACTTACTTTCTTACGCCTTTGACACGTATTGCTGAAACATTTAAGTGTGGCTACATGAAATGATACCATTAGATCTTCTTCAGCAGGGGCTACTGAACAAGAACAGATCATTATGTGCAAAATGCAACAAATATTAACTGCCAACAAAACTAGGGATTGCTCTTCTGAAAAGCACCCTGATTGATTAGCTCTGTCTCTGTGATTTGATCCTTATCTTCCCACACTTACTGAAATTTTCCAGTGTTAATGTTTACCGATCAGTACTTGTCTCTGCCAATCTATTGTTCATAATTCCCAAAGCACCTACACCACCTGCGAATCCATTTTGTTTAGAAGTTGAGCCTGTTGGTCTGTAAGAAGAGGGCATTTCAGACAATTGTTTTTGCATGACGGCAAGTGATATTTTGTTAGAGGCTAAGAGGTCTTTCATGGAAATCATTTCACCAGACATTCTGTGTCCTTCTGTGTCACTCTCAAGGACATCATCTGACTCAATTGATATGTTGCGCTGGCTCCGCACAGCCCCTGGCATCACAACATTCCTCCGTGACCTGAAGAGTTTTCTTTGGCACTTACGGCATGTGTTGCCCATTTTCTTCAATAACCAGTTTAAGAATTGTTTGATGACAATGGCAATCACATTAAATAAGGAATAGATACAACATAACCCCATGAGTATGAAGACACAATTGCCAATCTGGTAAAGGTGTTGATTTTTGTAGTATGCATTCCGACCACTCACCAGGTCACCGAAACCAATAGTACTGAAGGCCACAAAGCAAAAATAAAGGGAATCAGCATAACTCCATCCTTCTGTTGCTGAATACATAGCAGAGGCACTACAGGAAACAATGACTGATGCCAGGCACAAGATAAGCATGACATAATACACAGAAGGCTTCCATCCAGCTAAGCTGCCCATTTCATCACTCCCAACAGCCTGCTGGACACCTCCAGGAAGTGTACCTTTTCGCTTTAGTTGCCTCTCATGGCAAGACTTCAAAACACATGCTATGACTGTGATCAAACGCTCCAGGAATAAGTTGAAGAATAAGATAGCCCCTGCACAGCCAATGGGGCCATAAAATATCAGAAAAAGTTTGCCTGTTCTGGTAGCTGGTGTGGTCGTGCCGAATCCTGGAAGATAAAATAGGAAAAAAATTATATAAACAAGATTCCTGAGCAACAAGATATAACAAGTTAATATCTCATCAGAGTTGTTTATTAGTAGTATATTAGAATAACTGTAATAATATGCATTTATGTAAAACTTCATAGTACTTCACAAGCATTATCCTTATTCCTTACAAGCCTCTGATCACTAATACTATACCAATATGTGCAAGCTTGAGAGAGTGATGGAACTGTCATGGCTCAAATAAGATTGAAATAAGGTCCAGCCAGATTGAGTGTCCAGAGTAATGGTATTCAGAAATGGGCAAACTGAAGACTAGGGAGAGGAAGAGCAGAAAAGAACATAGGAACTCCATAAAATGAGCTATCTGGAGAATGTGGAGGAAACATCTGTAGCATTTAATATCAGCTCCATAGCCAGAGAGTGAGGTCTACAGCTGCCAAAGACTTTGTTGTTGTTTAGTCGTTAAGTCGTGTCCGACTCTCCGTGACCCCATGAACCATACT